AGGGATAAATCAATGAACATCGTGCCCCTGGGACTCCTGCCCTCTCACCCTTCCTCCCATGGCAACCAGCCCGACCCTACCGCCTGCTTTGCAGCCAAGAGGATCCCCTTCTCTTCTCCGCCTCTCCCAGGTCTATCCCCAGGCTCCCTGCCACGCAGAAGCCTGCTTCCTCTCTTGGTTCCGTGACCAGAATCTGCCCCCTGAAGAGCATTACCGTGTCACCTGGTTCTTATCCTGGAGCCCCTGCCCCACCTGTGCAGAGGATGTGGTTGAGTTCCTGGAGGAATACAGGAACGTCACGCTGAGCATCTATACCGCCCGCCTCTACTACTTCTGGGACCCAGATTTCCAGGATGGGCTCCACAAGCTGTGGTGTGCAGGGGTCCATCTGGACATCATGTCCTTTGAAGGTGAGAGCAGAAGGAGCTGGGGAGACAGGACTGTGGGAGGGAGTAGGACTCGGGCAGTGGGTGCTGGAGGACCTAGAATGTCCCTAGGGAGAGTGCGTGGGAGGAGAACCTGGGAAACTGAGGCAGGACTGGTGGTGCCTGGCAGGGAGGTCACGGGAGGGTCATGAGAAGAAGCCCCCCAGATCCCACCTGACACTCCTCTTCCCTCTTTACCTCAGATTATGAATACTGTTGGGAAACCTTTGTGGACCACAAGGGGATGCGCTTCCAGAGTTGGGATCTATTAAGAGATAATGATTTGCTGGCTGCAGAGCTGGACAATATTCTTGGGTGAGGGCGTCCTCAGCCTCCTGGTCTCTCCCTGCCGCTGCCGCTCCTTCTCCTGGGCTCCAGCCACCTTCACCTTCCTCCCCAGTCCCTCAGACTCCCTGCTTCCTTCCAGCACATCCTCCCTCTTCCCTCAAGACTTCCTTCAGTCCCGTGAGGGTCCCCCAACCTGATTCCTCCCATCTCACCACATTAACCAAATCGTTAATAAACTGAAAGTAAATGGGCATGAGTACTACGTCTAAGTGTGAAACGCAGAAACTGTGAGAAGAAGCATCCTTCCTGAGGATGTGACTTCTCAGAGAACCAGGGTCCTTGCTGACAGTGAGTTGCTGGGCGAGGGCGTCTGCAGTCTGTCCTCTGTGCTCACCGCATGGGAGCCCCTGCTGTCCCTCAGCCTGTCCCTGTCTCTCCTTCTCCTAACAATATCAGGCAGATTGGATTCAGGCCCATCCTAACGGGCCTCGTTTTAACAACCATCTTTTAAAATCTGTATCTCAAAGGTCGTCGTGTTCTGAGGCACTAGGGTTGAGACTTTAGCTGATGGATTTCGGGGGGCACATAGTTGAGCCCAGACAATGACCCAGGGCCTTTTTGAGCTGAAGGTGTGTGGCAAAAGCAGGATCCTTATTCTGCGTATCTGTCTCCTGGGTTATGCCTGAGCTGCCCCTGCCTCCCCTGCTTCCCTTGCAGCCCTCGCTTCCCTGGACCCCTCCTCCCCAGCGCCACCACCTCTCTCCAGGTCAGCACTGCACCTGCCCTCACTCCCATGTCTCTTGTCCCCTCCCCACATTGCTGCCAGAGGGGAAGCTTCAAGCAGGTTGCAGCCTGGAGACATCCATGGAAAGTGAGCAAGAAATTAATTACTCAGTTTACATTTAAATAACTTTTTTTTAATGTAGGATGGGGTATAGGAGGACTGAGGTCATCAGAACTTTTCCAAAAAAGC